CCGCCGGCGCCGCGGCGGCGGCCAACGGGGGCGCGCCAGTCGACGTGTCGGTCATCGGCCGCATGGGCATGGGCGCGTCCGCGGCGCTGCAGCAGCTGGCGGCGCAGGGGCCCGGGGTGGCGCGCATGATGGCGGACGCCGCAAACGCGTACCTGGCGCCCGAGGGCGGCGCGGCGGCGCCCGCAGCCGCGGCCGTGGCCGCAGCTACGGCGGCGGGCGGGCGGGCGGCCGGGGCGACGTCGCCGTCGGGGCTGGCGGCGGCGGCGGCGGCGGCTTCAGGTGAGGCCGCTTGCTGCTGTGGGACTGTCAGAACATGCGCGCGCGTGCACATACATCACACGCATCCGCACAACCCCCCAGCCCCACGCACATGAATACGTTCGTGCACCTCCACGCACACACACATACACCCGCACACACGCACGTGCGCGCGGCCCGCACCCACCCCAGGCCCCAACGTCGCGATGCTGTCCGGCCCCGAGCACGTCCCCGGCCAGCCGGCCATCCCTGGCGGCCGCCAGCCGTCGGGGGGCGGCGCTGCGGAGTCTGAGCTGGAGCGGCGCACGCGGGAGCTGCAGGTGCGCGCGGGCGCCCCTGGCGGTGCCGGGTCGACCAGGGCTTGCCCTGGGGCGGCACGCACCTCATGCGGAGTGTGTCGAAACCTGCTAGTGGGTGGCGTGGCGTGGCCTGCCATGTGTTGCAAGGCTGGCGTCCCCTAGCGGGTCCTTGTCGAGCGGGGGCTGCCCTGGCGCGACTTGGCGGCTCAAGGGCTGCCTGCCGTGTGCTTCCAGCTGGAGTTTTCGGCACGCAGCCCGCGGGGTGGCAAGCAGGGGACAGCTCTCGACAGCAGCTGCTGCGCAGCTGCGGCGCTGGAGGCACCCAACCACCGTTCGGCGCAGCAAATGCCATTCAACACCCCTCAGCCCACATGTCCATGCCGCCGCATACCTCACACCCTCACCCACACACACCGCCGCCGCCGCCCCCCTCTCCCCCCCCCCCCC